CCTTACCAAGCCGACGCCGATCACTTCCCTGAGGACACGGCGGCGGCGCTAAGCCCAATTAGGGCACACCGCCACCGTATGCTTCACCGTGTCCTCCGGGTAGTCCGCCTTTTTCCCTCCTCCGCCTCCCGGATCCGAAACAAGTACCTTTCCAAAATTTGGTTTCAGGTGCATCAGGCGGAAGGTGAGAACTCCAAGGCGCCCCTCTAACCACTTCGCAAAGAGGGGTCTTACCGCTGCTATAACAACGCCCCCGAACAAAGTGTACCTAATATTCTAAAAAATAATGGATCTTCCGAACGTCCGTTTTGGTTTTCAAATCCATGTTTTCGTGTCCTTAACTTGTGGTGTTTAATTCAATGGTATTTTGGTCAGTGTCCGAGATCTCCACCTGCTTAGTGGTTAAAGCTGTGATGAAAACGCGGTATCGCATCTATCATTCTATCAACTCTTAAGCGGAGAATTTAAACGCACCGTAAAGTTACTTCTAGAGATTCTAATATGATATATAATTTTGATAGCTGTAGGTGGACAAAGAACAGATATAGTAATTGAGTTCTGGGATGTACAGTCAGCTCCAAAAGTCGATGAACAGAATCAACTTTCCAAAACACCTGTTCACAATAAAATGCCATAAGTTATAGTCACAACTAGGCAACAAAATAGCCTGTACATCAGAAATTTACAAAAGTCGTTAAACACGACTAATTTTAAAGTATCTGTGCACTATAGTATTCCTAAAGTCGCTGTACACCATCAATCCAAATGTCGCTGAACATCATTGTATCAAAAGTCAGTAAACAGCAGAAAAGTCAAAATTAGGTTAACAAAGTATATTTTTAATGTTGCACTGTGTTAATATAATTTTGACGCTTATGTTGTTCAGCTACTTTTGGGACAGTGTAACTTAATAATGTATATTAACACGTTAGTATCTTTTTCAATACTTATTTAAAAATTAATCATATTTTTAACCGACTTTAAAAAAAGGTGGAGGTTCTCAATTCGTCGGGATTTTTTTTTTTTTGATGTTAACCGATTACTTGAGGCTCCTGGACCGATTTGGATTTTTTTTTGTTCAGTAGGGTATGATTTCCAGGTTGTCCCATGTTCACCAGGTCAAGATCTGATGATGGAAACCCAGAAAAATCGAGTGGAAATTTAAAATTTTATAGGGACAGTCGGCATGATTCGTATATTTTCTGAAGTTATTCAGGTATTTACGTCAACTTGTCGATGGTTGAACTCGACCTGATGATGATGAAACCGAAAGACAGTCGAGGTATTTCCTTGACTATTTGAAGTAATTGCCTTGTGTTTGGGCTTGAATAATTCTTCTTGGTGAGCACTTTGCACCAAGACTGGTAGTGACTGTCACTAGGGGTCTGATGATGACAACGAAGGACAGCTCAGGGAACGCCTGAACGGTTTCCAGTAAATACCTCGTGTTTGGAATTAATTCATTTATATCAATAAAAACTTCGCACCTACATGAGTTACAATGAAGTTATGCAGTAAATCTGATGATGGAGCCGGAAGACCGTAGAGGGATCTCTTTGACTATTTGGAGTAATTATTTTGTGTTTGCGCTGGAATGATTCGTATTGGTGAGCACTGTGCACCTATATAGATTATGTAACTATGTTGAAGGTCTACAGTATACATAATGATGGAGACCATTGACAGTCGAGGGCATTCCTCAACAATTTACAGAACTGAACAATAAGGACTACTACTATTACCGTGATTTTCGGTCTCAAGTAGCCGTCGTCTTCTCATTCTAAACGTATTATCCTTGCTTGCTCTGCATATCACTTAAAATGGAGAAATAAAATAATTTTTAACAAAAAAATTAATTTTCTGTGTACAAAGTAATACATGTTATCATTTAGGTAAATAGAAAATAATATTAATAACTATTTTTATAATCTCAAAGTCGGTGCCAATTAAGTGCCAGTAAAACAATGATGATTGCTAGGTACCGATCAATACACGTTTCTAATACTGTTGTTGTTTGGTATGTAGCATTTACTTGGCACCTACTGCGAGATTATAAAAATAGTTATTATTATTATTTTCTATTTACCTAAATGAAAAAAAACAAACGACTTCAAAAAGTAAACATAAAAAATAAATTTTCTGTGTACAAAGTTGTCTACTTCGTAGATTGTTAGAGTGATGTTTATGTTATTTCGTATTATATATTAGTATGATTACTGACAATATGAATTAAGTTCAAACACGAAGTAGTTACTATAATCCGTTCAGGAGTTCCCTGTCCGTCTTTCTCATCATCAGACCCTTAATGACAGTTACGACCAAGCCTGGTGCAAAGTGCCAATACGAATCATTCAAGCTCAAAAACAAGGCAACTACTCCAAATAGTCAAGGAGATCCCTCGACTGTCTTCCAGCTCCAACATCAGGTCGACTTCGACCTTCGTCAAGTTATAGTGTTGTAAAAGACCTACTTAAACATCATACAAAAGAACTACTCGCCCCTGCAATTATTGAAAGTTCCCCTCGATTTCTCCAGAATTCCATCATCAGATTCTGACCTCATGACAATGGGACCAAATGGCAGGTAAACCCTATCAAATAAAAAAAGAATTTTGCAAATCGGTCCAGTCGTCTTCGAGTAATCGGTGTACATACATAAAAAAAAATACGCATCGAATTGAGCACTTACTCCTTTTTTGGAGTCGGTTAAAAATATAATTGATGTGTAAATAAGTATTGAAATGGATACTTACGTGTTAAAATACATTATTAAGGTCTAGCGAGCACTGTCCCAAAAGTAGCTGAACAACATAAGCGTCAAAATTATATTAACACAGTGCAACATTAAAAATATACTTTGTTAACCTAATTTTGACTTTTCTGCTGTTTACTGACTTTTGATACAATGATGTTCAGCGACATTTGGATTGATGGTGTACAGCGACTTTAGGAATACTATAGTGCACAGATACTTTTGAATTAGTCGTGTTTAACGACTTTTGTAAATTTCTGATGTACAGGCTATTTTGTTTCCTAGTTGTGACTATAACTTATGGCATTTTATTGTGAACAGGTGTTTTGGAAAGTTGATTCTGTTCATCGACTTTTGGAGCTGACTGTACGTGTGTGTACAGTAACGAAGTTCTTGTGCGGAACGGACGGGAAGTTTACATCAAAAATTTGGACCAATCAGACAGTTTTTTGTAACGTGGCAGACATGATGCGTTTTTCTCACTTAGAAAGACAGTACATACTATTGATTAATGATTACCTCTACCACCCTTAGGCAACGTAGACATTGAATTGATGGATGTAACATTTATTGAAATGTTTTTTTTTAGTTATAAGAATAACCCTTTAAGAACGCGATAATTCGCAAGTAAGCACTACTTTTCATATCTTCATTGTCGTCTCAGAATACAGAACAATCTGTATTCTGAGATTGTCGTATGCCGAACTGTATAGCCGAAATATTGTGTTGTCTAGAATAAAATATAGGCTATGAATACTATGATTTACCCTGGTATTGCGGGCGTAGACGCTGACAGAAAAAAAATGTTTGATAAATCTCATGAAAACAGCAATGAAAGTCGTCTTCATTAAATAACACATGCCCAAGTGGGATAGGGACATTATCCTTCTATTCATTTTCTTTTATTAGTTTATCGACGTTTTCGATTTCGTGTATGAGAAAATATTTCTCCTTTTCAAAATTTACTATTTTACATAAACTTATGCATAAAAAAATACAATGTTTCAGTTCATTTGAATTAGTACGTGACTAAATCAAATTAATTATGTATTTACAGTAACCAACACTTTTCAAGTTTTCAAAATGAAATACAATGGAAATATAATGTACATTGACACAACATGCATGCATTATCTAGCACATTTTAATCATTTTACGAAACTTATTTGAATCAATGCTTACTATAAAAACATACATTTTGATGACATCGCACCATCAGCAAATTCAGTAATGAGTATTAATAAAAACGAGAGACTTTACAATTGCTTGAATCAAGTGCTATTTATTACATATTATGGAATTAATGGAACGCCAGAAATAGGTGTCCACAAGACCGTATTTGTAATATTGTTCCAAAATGGTTTAAAACTTCCAAATTTTTGACTAATGCTACAAAGTTTTAAAGATGAATTCCTAAAAACTTTTACATTAATATTATTTAAGTAAAACATATGAAACAGCGCCCTGACGAAGTAATTTTGAATAAAAAAATGTATTCAAAGGTGTGCCTCATGCAAATGTCAATCGCTAAATTCGCATTAGCAAAAAAAAGTAACAAAAGTAAAATGTTCGTAATCATGATTGCAGTTTTAGCTTGAACACAATGGATCGGATATTAACGCATTATAAACTCCGCCTTTGATTTCGTCACAATCCAGACAAAAATGAGTAACTACAAATTATGGTAACCTAGGGGTTACCATAATTTGTAGCGTATAAGATGGCGGCTACATCTAACAAATACGCCGCTCGCGAGCAGCTCGCAAACGGCGCACTAGTATTTTTCACTGCCCGCAAGCAGAGATCTAGAATTGGGCATTCACCAGATGTGGACGCATCATTAGATATTTAACGTAAACACCAACCAATCTTCAAATTGATATGCATTACATAAAATATACATTTAAAACCTAATAGAACATCCGATCCTTTCGAACAAACGTAACATTAGTAGGAATTATCCGCTAAATATAATTATAAAGCTAGAGTCATAAGAGGAAACAGTATATTATTCACAGTTTGAGGTGTCATTAAAGGCGAATTGACTATCCAAGGTAGACTCTACCTACACCATCCACATTTTTATTACTTATTCTAAAAATCCTCACATTTTACATCTGATGCTCGTTTTACTGATTTAGTTATTTATATTAACAAACATAACACAGTTTCAATGCGCAAACGCATAAGGATTGAAAGGGTGATTTGAAATATTGACAAAACTTTTACTAAACTGATTTTACTGAACTGATTTTTCAGTATACACTTGATAATTGTTGTTTACGTATTTTTTATCAAGTCTTAATTTGTTTTTTTAGTCGTCCGCCATTTTGTCAACATGACAGCATGAACTCCACAAAATGGCGGCGACAAAAGTGACGCAAAATGAAATCTCTTTGATATTGATATTAAGTTTAATCATGAAGAATAATAAATAATAATTAGCAAATGTTCTAGAGATAAATATTATTACATGGAAATTTAATCTATGGAGATAGTCTGTAAATTGTTCAGAGCGTGTGTATGTGCAATGAGAATGACGGGGTGTGGTTGGAGTACGGCGGCGGGTAGAGGGCGCTGGCGAGCACCACATGGCTCGGCGGGTAATGCCTGTGGGGTCGCCGCGGTACGCCGCAGCACAGCTCCACCGCGCATCACACAAGTCACCCCTGCACGAGGATCACAGTTCTCATTCACACTAGTAGTCTCATCGTCTGAACACAAGTCAATCACTTCACAAACATTGTCTAATCGCTTCAGTGGGTCCATCATCACTTCTGAATCAGCTGGCTGATCACAGTCAAGCCCATCCACAAAGACAATATCCTTATCCTCCATTATCTGCTGCTTACTCTCTCTTTCTTTTCTCAAGTTGTCAAGATATTCCTGTATGCACTCTTCTGACATTTTAACTAATTTAACTGAAATTGGTTTACATTTCAAGAGGAGTAGTTGACCTTTAATATCGAGTATTCCTTTGTTTCTCTGATTGGGAAAAACATATTTTCTGTTCCAATAACTCAACGGTCTTCGGTATCTCACCGGAAACTGTTGATTTTTTACCTTAACATTATAATTTTTACTAAATGGAGTTGTAGTACAACAATATCTTTCTATCCTCTCTCTTGAGAAGCTCAAATCCCTCTGGCAATTTGTATTAGCATTCCGTCTGTAAGCCAGGGATGAGAATGGATACAGTGGGCCCCGGTCTATGCTCGCATTATTTCTTAGTTGCTTGGCATTATTTCTAACATTTCTTGTAACAAACCTTTCTGGAGCATTTCCAGTTTCAGAACGAGAACTCGAACAAGGATTCACAGAATTCTCAAATGCTTGACCTGCTGGATGCAGTTTCAAAGCTGAAAGAAAGTCAGGCAAACCTCCATTGGAAGAACTTGTTGCTGGATCATCTTCAGTATTGTTGCATAGCCTCTCATGAGCGCTCAATAAGTCCGGATTATCAAAGTGACTATCACAGTTGTCACATAAGTATATGTCTGCAGGTCTCACTGTTGTATCATCAATGCTTTCCCTCTTGGGAGAATTACTTTTGTCATAATGTAGATTTTCATTTCTAAATGTAACCAGAAGTCTGCCATTAGGTCTGTAGTAGAGAGAAGTGGTGTGGTCTCTATTGTCAACATACCTGAGCCTGTTGCGTGGGTACCGCGCGAGTTGCGCAGAAAAAACCAGCAGAAAGGCGCTCTTATGGTACTCGTAACATTTCTTCACTAAATTCTTCAACTTCACAGACCAGTTCTTGGGCACCTCGTAGGGTCTTACAAAAGGGTGCGAAAATTCAACATCTTTTGGCCACCACGGTGGCTGCCGAATATCTTTCGCTGTGTCGTGTCCCCAGGAACATGTCACCATGAATGTTATGAACTTCTCCAGCTCAGCGACCGTGATCAGCGACAAGGCTGTCGGATTGCCGTTAGCAAAAAGAAGTGGCAAATTGGCGATCATGATTCCTGCTGACGCTTATGGTCATCGAAACCTGAGGGAGGCCAGCGCTTGCGATGTCAGACCGCGCAGGTACACACTAACGGTTATTGCGTTTAAGTCCATTTTAGCGCGATAATCAGGAACGGTTATCACTCATAAGGATCGTCACAATTTTAGATATACTTTTTAAACTATTACAAAACACTGCTTTACCACTAAATCCACAAATTTTTATACAGAGCGAGAGCGCAAACTAAAAAGAGAAAGATCCATCCATAGATCCGCCACAGACTTCATAGATCTTTGTTACACCAATTTTGCTGCGCACTGTACGCAAGCGAGATGCAACGCAGAACGAAACGATATCGAGAATAAATTAAAAAAAAAACTTTCCAAGAAATTGAACAGTTGCACTTTTATTCCATGTATTTTATTTTTTGTGGGAATTATGAATAATATTTTCCATTATCAAATTCTCATGCATCATTTTGTAATTTTTGTACAATTTTATTGAAAATCATTTACACCGAATGTTTCACTAACCAATTCCAAACCAGCAAGTAAAAATATATTTTTATTCGACTTTGAATAGTCTGTTTTCTGAATTAGTTTTTAAATTAAATAATCAAAATAATACGATTTTTCCTTAGACTATACAAAACAGAAAAGCCTAGTTATTTGTTTTATATTTTTATAATTTTATGGTAAATTACAGTTATGCAATAAAATCCGTTAGACAATATGGAACGGAGACAATGAAATAAGAATACATTGGATTTTGAACATTGGTAAAATTATCTATAAAGATCGACGTAGGTACTTTTCCGACCATCCTAATGGCACAGTAACGTTAGGAACGTCTCTGTTTTAAGTCTGTCAGTTGTGTCAGTGTGTCAGCAGTCAGTTGTCAATTTTGTGTAATCTCTGTTGTTATCACATTGATAAACTCGGATATTGGAATAAAACAGAACTAAGTTATTTATCAAAAGCTGTCAATAGTAAAACTTTGTTTATTACTAATAAAAATGCGATCGTAAATTAGAAATTTTATAAAAGAAAATGGTCAGTTTTGATAAGAGTTTGGTTTTGATTGTGGAAAAATATTTTCAGTTATATTCATAATATCACTTCTTCACAGGAACACAACAGCGCTGATAGTTCTCCTAACTCACCATCGAAAAAGTTTCCTGAAATCACAGACTACCAGTAAGTGAATAATTACCTCCTTGACCACCTCCTTGACACCAGAAAGTTTTTTTTTTCTTTGTTCAAGGCTTCAGCTCTGTACATTTTTGTAATGTGACTAATTAGAAGTTTTAGATGGAGTTAAATGATATTAACTATTGACCTTTAAAAATATTGAATAATTATTGATTTGTAATGTAGTGTAGTAATTGTTTATTTTATGGTAGTGACTAAAACTTCATTATCACCAAAGTATATAGATGAATTCAAGAACTTGAAAAACCAAAATCAACTTAGTGCAAGCTATATATTTATACAGAAATCATGCTACAAGAAAAATAACAATCAAGTTTTAATCTTGAGTACACCTTACCTACAAAGTCCATCATCTAATGTAACAATTTTAACTTACTTTTTTTCTGATACCTACACACTCCATGCACAGTTTCAATCAACAAGAAAATAAATTTGTATCTATTTAAATTTAATATAAAATAATACATACAGGCAGACTTCGTGCCTTAGGCATTGTCTAACAGTCGACCTTTAGGTGATGGAGAGATGAGAGTGGCAGGTCTCTTATCAACATGTTCCTATATTATTTGAATCCAGCCAGTCACTACCAGGCAGAGTATAAGCATTATTGCTTTATAAAAAATAACGAATGGCTTCTGACAGGTTAGATCTCCCAGCATGGAGTGTGGACAGTCTGAAGGCTATAGCCATTCAGCAGAGACTTCCTCGTCCCCGGAGCCTTGCATGGGCAATCTTACTGAATGCTTTGCCGCCTCCGAACATGGATATTGTATCAAGGTAACAAAACTTATTTAACTTCATTGTCTTTCTGGTGTTTGTGACACTTTAACTTTTAAAAACATATAAAAATAAAACTCAAGCTTTATTGCAAAATAATTTAAACTACCTAACCAATTGTTATGAAACTTACTTACTTACTTACTTTTCTATTATTTTTCTATTATGACATATTTTCATAGAGATATATTATGTGAAAATACCAAATATGGGTGAATGATAAAATAAACAATATGAAAGATAAATAAATACAAAAGGAGGTTTTATGATAGGGTATCATGTAGGGTTTTATAAAATTTAATGGAAAATATAAATGTAAAAAACAAAAAGGTTTGTCCTTTCTAAATATATTTTTCAAAATACTAAGCTAAGTTATTAAGGCTGTTACAATCAACATTGTTTATTGTATGCAACTAAATCCTGAGTCATATTTAGCTCTTAGTGATGAGTCATTATTATTTTGGTTGCATCCAAACATAAGGTACCTTACCTGAATATATAAACAAAACAAGAACGTGAAATATATGAATATATATACATTTAGGTATATTATATATATCAGGCCAAAGTAGATGGAATATCTTTTTATTAAATTTAAAAAAACTTTATATAGATAACTTTTATCTAACCATTGAAAAATCTATTTCACCAATAATTTATTGTTTCTTTTCTCTACTTCATATTATATTGAATCTATGTCTTAATATTTTATTTCCAAACTAGCGACGCACCCCGCCTTTGCATGGGCGCAATGTTTATACTAAATTTCTTCAGTATTTAATGGATAAATCACTCTATCTACTAAAAACAACCACATCAAAATCCGTTGCGTAGTTTTAAAGATTTAAGCATACATAGAGATAAAGAGATAGAGAAAGCGTCTTTGGTTTTTACTATGTAGTAATGTATTGCATGCATTTTTCTTAAATGGAAAATTACTAAAATAAAGTTCAAACAAAGCATAAAATAATAACTTTTCTAAAATAAATACTGTGATGATGACAATAGAAGATAAGAACTTTTCAATAAATAGCAGAATTATCTATGAGTTATTGAAACCAAGGAGGCTGGCCATTAACATGTTTGTTTTTACATAATTATCCTTTTAGACTTTGTTTGTTTCTATTAAGTAACAGTAACAATGATGTTACTAAAGATGTGTTGTTATGATAACCAACCATGTTCAACTATTGTCTTCTTTCTTCTAACTTTTAATCAACATTTTCGTGCCCTCTATGTTTCCTTATGAGTTTTGGAGTTTCTTAGCTAGTATAAAGACATACATCATGCAAACAGCTATCAGGTCCCTCAAAGATGTTTAATTATATTTGGAGGCCTAAATCCTGCCTACGAAGGCACATGTTCACATGCACACTAATAAAAAAAAATGAAGCAAAATGTAAACTACTAATTGTTTGTCTGTCTGTATTGTTCAAAAAAGGCTAGAAAGCATTTCATTAAGAGTGTTAACAGAGTAGAAGTTTTCATAAATAATTTCAAATTAAACGTCATGGAAATAACTTATCAAGGTCTAAAAATATAATTTTAAGATCTAAGACCTAATTTTCCCATTTTCTGTCTCTCTAAAATTTCTCTCTAAACTTTTTAAACCTTGTTGTAAGTATTATGTTTACATACGAAGTTTTATTAAAATCGGTTCAGTAGTTTCAATTATATTTGACTTGAAAGTATGTATGGCATCCCGTGCACTGTAAATGGTCTAGACGCAAATTTATTAAAATATACTTTTTCATTTTGTTTTCAGTCTAAAATCCCACAGGAATTACTACAATGATTTAAGTGACAAGCTGTCAATGGATCCGAGGGCAGTTATTGGAGATGATCCGCTCTCACAGGATGATGAGGTAACTAACATAACTATACATATTACTAGCTGATCCGGCTAACGTTTTTTTTTTATATTTCTATAGAGTTATTGTAGTGCACAAAGACAATGAGTGAAAAATAATACATATTATGAAAATGATTATTGAAAAGCAGGGGTTCGTTATAAAAGAGGGTTTTTTTAGGGTTGTGTATAAGTTTCTTATTCCTACCTAATAATAATAATAAAGCAAAACCCAGAAAAAAAATACGGGTGAAACTATCACTTAGGAGTTTAAATGATAAATAGTACCCGATTCTCATACTGACTGAATATGGATGAAATTGCATAGGAATCGGTCGTGCCGTTTCGTAGGAACAAACATTGCGACACGAGAGTTTTATATAATATAAAACAAACAACTAAATCAGTTGTGTTTGAAAACAATATAAATTGAACCTTAACACTTTAAGGACTAAGTTTTGAATTGTATTTCAGTGGTAGGTAATAGGCGTTTGTATGTATCTTTTATTATATAAATATATAATATTTATTCTATATACTTACATGTAGGTACACTGCCTTGTTACATGGGATAAGTTACAAAAATGTGTGTACAAAGGGAAGTGTTTTTTGTGAGGAGAAAATCATCGAAGGAGTTTATTTATATGTCTATTTTTCTCATTCAAAACCTTGCAAGTACTCAAGTGACTTTTACCGAGTTATATGATTGTACTTTCTAATATTATTTAGACAGCACAGACAGACGGTGCATGATAATATCGTGAAGAAACCCAGACTCAGAATTTCTTATTATAAGTTTGAAATCGCCAATCCACCTTGAGCAAGCGTTGCTCTGCTTAGCAGTTATCATGAAAATAATATGATTTATTAATAATTTGTGTGACGATTATTTAGAACCTGTTGTAGACAATTCCCATTGTCCTATTGTCGTGGTGCCCCGGAGGTGAGCCAGCTTCTCATGTATGAGGGTGTGGGTTCGAAACCTGGCAAGTACCAATGTGACTTTTTCCGGGTTATACCTATGTACTTTCTATGAATATTAAGACACCACTGAAATACGGTAAAGGTTAACATCGTGAGGAAACCTGGACTTAATTTCTAAGTTTGAAATCGCCAACCCGCATTGAGCAAGCGTGGTGATTAATGCTTTAACCTTCTCCGTATGAGAAAAGGCCTTTGCTCATGCCTTTGCGATGTTGATGATTGTAGACAATGCCTTGTATCTTTATTATTGTATCTTTATTATTATATTAATTTTGTAATATCAAAGAATAACAATTATGTATGTACTCTCATAAAATGTATCTAATTTTTATATTATAGTGTCGGGCTAGTGCTGAAAATCAGCGCCGCGACGCGAGTTATACTCTCGGGTCACGGCATTTTAGCTGAGCACTTGGCCTTTTTGCGCCTTGCATACTTTCGTTATAAGTTGTACCTAATGTGTCTTTTTTTTAATTTTTGCGGTCTAAATAAATAATTTTTCTTTCTTTTTTTCTTTCTTATCTATTGCATACTAGCTATTCTCACGCGGTTTCACTCGCTGCTCAGCTCCATTTGATCGTAGCGGTGTTTTATAGCCTATAGCACTCAGGAACATTTTAGCTATCTATCAGTGAAGAATTTTGGCTATCCGACCAGCGGTTCTAAAGATTACCTCCTACATACAAACTTACAAATTTTACCTCTTTATAATATTAGTATAGATATCATTAAAATAAAATAAACAATAGTTGCCTGATAATAAAGGTTTAAATAAATAAAATAAGTGTAAGGTTTGATATCTGCACCACCATAACAATAAGCGGTCAGGTCAATGACTCTTTTATTATTTACATTGAATACGAAACCGCTACCTAACCTTTATACAAATGTAATATAATAAACTATACCTACCTACCTATATACACACTTCAAGGTGAAAAAATATTTGTTTATATCTACATATTATTATATACTTACTTACGTACTGAATCATCGTTTTGTTCAAGTTTTAATAACGATATAATAATCATATGTTTGATTTCGACAATAAATGAAATACTTATATATAGGTATATATACTTATATATGTATATAGGTATAATTAGGTAGTTGTAGTTATGTATTATTTATTCTTAGGTTTTGGAAAAATTCACTAGAAAGCGATTTTTTATTGTTTTAAAATATCCCCTCTAATCCCATATGGTTCTTGTTAGGTTTTTTTTTGAGGGATTGCATCCCTCAACGTGTTATTGTCAACTATATTGCTCTAGGTGGGGAAAGTGTCAAACTCTTACTGTCTTAAAAACACCCCGTTCCTGCTATTTATCCGGGCCGGGGTCGCAATGCATTCCCTTTATGCTTCCACACGCAACCCCGGCTGAACTATGGGCACGACCGGCATGACACCAAGGCCTCACAGAAAACCCGCGTAACACAACTATAGTCTTTCGTCGTATGAATAATGGGGTTACCGGAAACACAATGTTTCCCCTCTCCCAATCCTTAAATCACCGACAAACTAATCCCCAAAAAAGCCAGACAACACATTTGTAACTCCTCTGGAGCTGCGGGTGTCTAATGACGGTGCCCATTGCTTACCATCAGGTATATACATCTACTCGTTTGCCATCATATAAAAAATATGTTAAACTAGCTACTCTCGCGCGGTTTCACCCGCTGCTCGGCTCCATATAATCGTAGCGTGATGTTTTATAGCCTATAGCACTCGGGAACATTGTAGCTATCTATCAGTGAAAAAATTTTGGCAATCCGACCAGCGGTTCCAAAGATTACTCACTACATACAAACTTACAAATTTTACCTCTTTATAATATTAGTAAGTATAGATAAGTATTCTAAGTACCTAATACAAATCCATACTCTAGTTATCGTCGTATCAAATGCATACAGCATTCGAAACTACACGTTTAAATAAGATAACAAGCGATTCAGCTACATAACACTATCTAGACCCACATTAGTACCAAAATACGGAGTTTCCCGTATTATGCAAATACTTACATGAATGTATAATTAGATTTAATAAACAATCCTACTAATTTTATAAACGCGAAAGATTGTAAGTAGGGCTGATTGATTGCTTCTCTTTCACGTTAACACATCCAGTGCCCCCGACGCGTATGTGCGTTTCCTTACGCTACTCTGTGTGCCCTCGACGCACCTGTGCGTTCAATACATTAATGTATAGCACAGGTGCGTCGGTGGTTAAAGGTTAGGGAAGGGATCTGTAATAATACATATACTACTTTTTAACCGACTTCATTTCACTAGGTACCTGGATTATCTTAATATAGCCGCTAACAGTCACTGGTGTAAAATATACGTGTACGCATATCATATAGGTAGGTTAGTATTTTTGTATGTGATAGGACGGCAAATGAAATGACTGATTACCTGATGGTAAGCAATTGGCGCCGTCCATGGACAACTGCAACAACGGAAGCGTTACGAATGCTTTGCCTAACCTTTAGGGGATTAGGGTTTGGGGATTTAAGGATTAAGGCGGGATTAGGGGAGGGGAAGGCTTGGGCCTCCGGTAACCACATTTACACACGGCGTAACAGAACGCTGTGGGTGTTTAACGCCGGTTTTCGATGAGGCCGTGATATCATTCCGGTCGAGCCGACTCATTCGTACCGAAGCATGGCTTAGTTTGGAGGGATGTGAGAACAAAGTCTAAACTTCCTCATCATCGGTTGAAAATGTAGGATCCTCCGACCAGAAGGGTGTTATGTCCGGTGGGCTACTGCCCGACGGTTGTTGTCGGGATTTTGTATCGGTTCTAATTGCGTTGAGAACTGTTATACCGCGATGTAGCAACTTGAATGTGATTGGATTGATTGACCTACTTATTCAATTTCCTATATATGTCAAGTCAAGTCAAGTTAATTAACCTTCACCTTTTTGAACGCCCCCTCCAAAGCCTTTTATATTTCACCATGAAGGTTGTGCAAAGTTCATGGAAAACTCTATGAGGGATGCATTCCGCGCGCGCTCCTCAAATAGCTGATATACGATGATGAACGAGGGTTTTTAGTCAATAAGAGTCAGAACAATCAGAGCCCTTCCAAGGACGAGAAACATAATTTGACTAATCGCCTTCTTCAAAAAAAAAGTCAAGCCGTTTATTGTGCATGTGGTGTTGGCCTTTAAATGATTGTTACACTCGCAAATGTATTTTTCATTTATATCTATAGGTAATGTTCTTTTTAGTGTAAACAATTGTTGGCTAGCCTATAATAAATAAATAAAAAAGGTTAGACTCAACCTTACCCCAGACAAAATCCCAAGTGCTTGCACCAACCTGTAAAGTCGGAACTGGATAGGCATCTTCCAATCATAATACTAATGTTCTAAAAACAAAGACTCTAAATCATATTTTTAAAAATGACTTGTTTAATTACAGAGTGTATGGAAGCAACATTTCTGTGATAACGAACTGAAAACTCTTATATTACAAGATGTGGTCAGGACATTTCCTGAGGAGCTGTACTTTAGAGAGAAAGACGTCCAAGATCTGATGGTAAGTCACTATTTATCTGTATAAATTGGAATTCCTACCTTAAGTTTTGGGTTTGACAAAATAATATTACAAATGCAGAAGTTAGCAAGTGAAAGAGTTATTCTTTGATGTACCTGAAAGAGCCCGGAACATAGTTTAATGAGATGTGGCTCAAAGATAGAGAGATAGATAGAGACCTTATAGATTGGCATAACACACTTTTAACATTCGTAATGTTGGCGACAAGATTGAAAAAAAATGCTTTGTAATTAAAAACAACAGAATTCAAATAAAAATATAACAAAAACAATTTGTACCTACAGTACTAATAATAAAATGGCTATGTGAACCGGCCAACGATTAAAAAAAAAAGGGAATATTTTTCCATAGGTTATATACCATAGAAATATACTACAAATGCTTTTGTTCAACCTATAAAATGAAATTAATACCCATTCGTATCGACGAGGCAAACTAACAAATAAATAACAGCCCAAACAAAATGAAAATCTCTTCCTTTATGAAGTTGCATTCTTAGTCATTTATGTTCCCTAAAACTATATTTGCAGGTCCGCATCTTATTCTTCTGGGCTCGTTCGCACGCCAACGTTGGTTACAGACAAGGAATGCACGAGATCCTAGCACCAGTGCTCTTTGAACTATATTTAGATAGGAAATTCTATATATTTTTTTATTCTAGGGTAAGTGTCAATCAAATGATGAAACTTAACCAAACCAGATTTATCTTAAGAGGTTTAAACCATTAAGCCAGTTTGTGTAAGGTAGGTGAGAATATTATTCAAAATTCAAAACCTGACTCAATAGTAAGACAAAAAGAAAAAGTAAAGAAAAACCTTATTTTCATTCATTCATCATTAAAGTTTTCGCTCGCTTCACACTTGAAGTTATTTTGCAATTCCCTCACAAAATAAAAGCTAAGTGACTAACTATGGGATCTAACGTCAAGCAGCATTAGCAGCAGCATTAAAAAACGCACTAATAATAATAATGGAAAACTCTTTTCATACTTTTTCAGTGAACTACATTTTCATTGTAATTAAACAGCAATTTTTGACTCCACGCTTAGCGCCGTGGCTGGGCAACCGGCTATCACATAAACTGCTGCTACTAATACACCATCTAATAAACTATATTTGTATTTCGTTTCAGAGATAAGTTAAAGTACATACTAAAGGAAGACTGCTTAGAACACGATAGCTAGTGAGTATAAAAGTAAAACTTACATTCTGCACTTATATACAAGCCTATAATAAAGTTATATTAATGCGAACGCTTTTTTCCAGCATGCTTTTCAGTGCAATAATGAAAGGCTTAGAAAGGTTTTACACGACGGGCGATATCGTTCCCACATCGTGTGGAAGATTACCCACCGCCAAAATGTCTCATGTAAGTTACGCCTAAAATATTATGTTGTTGCGCAAAACGGCGCAAATTTTGCGCATCAATCGAGTCTGCGCAAACATAATTTCATTTTTTAATAAAATTAGTTGATATAATGGTATGAGAACTCTGTATATGACTACTTATTATTTTTAGAATCCAAACGAAGTGATTAGATATTTGGATAAAGTGAGAGAAGAATTTCTAGTGCCGCTCGATCTAGAATTATCTGCACATCTGGTTGAATGCAACATATCTATGGAACTGTTTGGAATGTAAGTACTAACAAAATGTTATAGCTTAAAATAAAAATTGACTCCAGATGATTACTATTTTGTATTATTATACAAAAAAGGATATGTTTTGCTTTGCGCAAATCTCGAGAATAGCTGAACTGATTTCGATAAATTCTTTTTTGTTGTATTCGTGAAAGGGTAGTTTTCTACTAGACAAATTCAATTCTTATTTCCAAATGCCCAATAATATATATAAAATAATGCATTATAATATATTTTTTGTCCCAGACGGTGGTTACGACTGTTATTTGGCCGGGAGTTCCCAAGATCTGAGATCCCCAATCTGTGGGGATTTTTATTTGCCGACGGACCGATGTTCCCGAACCTACATTACGTCATCGTCGCCATGCTAATCTCTATGAGAAATACACGTAAGTATTTAATCACTAAGTAGTATTAAACAAAGTAGCTTTCTCTGTCCCTATATCCCTACGTAAGCTTAAATCTTTGAAACTACGCAAAGGATTTTTATACGGTATTTCATAGAGTGAATGCGAAGCCAAGGCATGTCGTTAGTATAATATTATCCTAAATATGATTTTTTTTTGTACCTATGCTTGTTTATTTGGAACGAGCTTTTGCCCGCGACGCCGTTCGCGTGTAATTGTGACTTTTGGTATAAAAACTATCCTATGTCCTTTCTCGAGTTCCAAACTATAACCTAAATGTAAACCTGTAAACTGTACCAAATTTCACAGAAACTTCTTTTCTTCACGCCTAACTACTGAATAGTTAGGCGTGAAGAAAAGAGAGACAGACAGACAGAGTTACTTTCGCATTTATAATGTTAGCTTGCAAAATTGTTTTTAGACTTTTGTCAATTATTTTTATTTTTATATTGAACTGTGTTGAAAAGTTGTATTAAACCATTTTTACTGATAAAAATCAATTAACAAAATATTTGCAGTATTAGACCCGGATCCGGGTGTAATCCTGTCTGCATTGATGCGGCCCGTGTGTCTATGCGTGGGCTACGTGTGTGCACTGGCCCTACATTTGCGCGCCCCACTCGAGTTCCCGCGACCTCCTATGCGCCAAGAAGTTGTTAACCACACGTAAGCACTATATTTATAACTAGCTTCCGCCAGCGGATTCGCCCGCGTAAAAAACATTCATGTTTAAGTGTACGGGGAAGGTCATTGTCGTAAATGAGAAACAATAAGGGCCCCAGAATGCTACCCTGTGGCACACCATAATTATTGATTCTTTGTTTCGAGTCATATTTAGCAATATTATTAGTTCCAGTATCAAAATTTGAAATTCTAGTGAATTGTTTTCTGTTTTGTAGATAGGTCTGAAACCATAGCAGAGAAGATCCCCTTATTCTTTATTATTTTGTCGAGTTTTGAGATGAGTATCGAATGATAAACAAAATCAAAAGCCTTACTGAGATCTAACAGCAGTGCTAAAATTGAATTTTTTTGTCAATGTTGTTAATAATGCTTGTTATTAGAGCGAAAGTTGCTAATTGTGTTGACCTATACTTCCTGGTGCCAAAATGACATATTTTTCAAGGAAATGTGTTTATCTTTTAAACTTGATTATTTCAGGAGTTAGAGCAATAGGCCTGTCATTATTTTTATCAGATCTTGACCCTATTTGTGTATTGGCTTTATTTTCTTTTCATATTTCTCTGAATAAATATTAGTGTCACACTGTTCTCACATAATTGAACCAACTGTTTGTGTAAGGAATCTGTATGTGAAACTGATTAAAAAAGAGTAACCATAGAGTTTCTAGCTTGTTCTTCTCCATCGGAGTCTACACTTTGGAAAGAGCAAATAGCTTCACTGACCGACAGACTGACACTATATCTTCAAAATTTTATTTGACCTTCAAAAGTGCCCGTAAGGGTCTAATTTGAAAAAATGATTTTTGACTTTTTCACATATTTGTATTGTGCTAAAACACAGTCTTCATATTTTTCCCTAGTTGCCAAACGATATGCTGAATTGTACCGAATACCATATAATGGGAAGACCTGAAATATATTTTTTTATTAGCTGTTTACTTAATATTTTTGTTTTTTTTTTTGCCCTGGGAGCAAACAAACGATTATTATCAAATTCTTACTTTTGAATGAGGCAATTAAAACCCCACTATTCCACAAACTTGCGATAGGGCTTAAGACATTGAGACAAAGTAGTATCTTTACAATATCATCTCTCTATATTAACATTATAATTCTAAGCTCAAAATCAATTAATTTGCTATTGGTATATACTCCTTCAAATACCTACTAATTGACTACGTGCTAAAGTAAAATATACGTGGAAATGATAATAAGCAGTATTTTAGTATTGTTTATACCTTAGAATATAGTTAAACAAGTTTAACATTCCGAAATTTGATGAACAAAAGTCAAGGTCCGACGCGAAAAATTGGCTTAGCATAACAGCAAACGTCAACAAAAACAATGGCGCATATCATCATGTGATGTAATGCGTTCTAATTAGCGTTCACGATGGGGGGCCAGGGGTGTATTATTTTGATTTTTTATTTGTAAAAATAACAATAATCTTATTTTTTAAGAGGATGATTTTTTAGGTGATAGGTTTTCTTTAATTAAATATTACAATTTACGCCTTGAAACATTCATCCATTAGTTTCATTGTTAGGAGCACGGAGCATGCGGCGAGCGAGCCCCGCGACTGGCGCGAGATGGGTGGCACGGGGTCGGAGTCGGGGTCGGAGGGCGTGGCGGAGGGCGCGGACGTGGCGCGCGAGCTGGCGGCGCTGGCCTTGCTGCGCGCCCAGCTGCCGCCCGCCGCCGCCGCGCTGGCCGCCGCCCTCCCGCGCCCGCCGCCCCATGTACAGCAGCCGCTGCAGCAGATACTGCATGTAAGGAACGCTTACGTACCACTGTCTTTTCCTGTCATCATTTTTATGTGTTAGGTCTGCATACGAGCTTACGGATTACCTGTTGGTAAGCAGTCAGTGTCGCCTATGGACACCTGCAACAACGAATGAAATACGAGTGGATTGCCAACCTTTTGAGTAAAAGAGTTTGAGAAATTGGGAGAAGAAAAGAAACGGGCCTTTGGTAACCCCTCTCACATAGCGAAACAAAATGATGTGGTCATCTCACACCTGTTTTCTGTGAAGCCTTGTTATCTCTCCGATCTATCCTTGCCGAAGCATGATTCTCTTACACTTTAAAAACCTCAAAATTTAACATTATACATTAAGAAAAAAGCAGGGTGGTTTTAGTCAACAAGTATTTCCCTCTCACCCAACTCCCACCCAGAGCAAGAAAAAACATGTAAACATTTCCCCCCTTCCCTCCCCTAAAAAAACGATACTGGTCAGTCAAAATATTCAATAGATTACCGAAAGACCTTCAAAACGCAAGGAAGGAAATAATATTTGAGAGGAAATTAAAAAAATTCTTAATACAAAAATGTTTCTACTCAACCAAAGAATTCTTCGAAGGAAAATAGAACACCAACATTAATGTTAAAACCCACCTCATATACACACAAACACCTACCTACTAACTCAACTAACAACTTATTATTTTTTATTTTTTTTATTTATCTAATTCTTAACTTTTTTGTTTTTTTTTCTCTTTTATACAATGTGATGTAAATTTAGTAATTTAATATTATTTTATAAGCTAGTAATAGCCCTCTTTGCAACGCCTGAAAAAGGCCGTTAAGCTGAGCCTGCTATTTTAATTTAAGATCCTTGTACCCACCTTAACATGCAAATAAAGAATTTGAATTTGAATTACTAGACTAGATAATCCCTGTCATCCCTTGTGGTTCTCAATCTACTCATTTCCACCCCTTCCTCAAAAACACAAACTTTATCTTACGACATTTTGGCGAAGTATAACATAAAACACGTGAAGCTTAGCTTAATAGGTAAACAGAGTTGGTTTTACTATTTAAAATAATAATAAGGTTTTAATGACTCCTACCAAATATCTATGCCCAAAAATTTTAAGAACCACTGCTATCAATACAATAATAATTGACATCATTAAATTATCTCCCAACAGCTCGCAGCTCTACTCCAATGCCGAAACCACGCCTTAATAGACGTGGAAACGGCCTTAGAAGCCGCGGAAGGCCAAACAACAGAAAAGGTAGGTCGCCGGCAACTGATCCCCGTAGCCATGATACACAAGCCACCGCAGAAACCGAATATAAAACCTTTAAACAAAGTCAAAGAGGTCCCATTAAAGGTCTTTCATCAGGGCGAGAGTGTTGCCAGTGATCTCCCATTTTTAGACCCCCTCCGTTTAAGGACAGAGTGACTAAGAACTAAGATTATGTTATACAGTTATTACCATTAGTTTTAGAACGTATGAAATGGCATACCGATTTGTAAGACCGATGGTAGTTTCCTACTTGTCAAATTGAATACTTTTTTCGAAATTTCAAAAACGTCAATTTTTTAAAACTGGTATGAAATAGCACGTTGTAACGTCGTCATTTTTTGCGTTTAATATCTAAAAAATATGAATATGAGGTATAATTGTAATTGATTTTAAGTATTTTTATGAGTTGAAAATTTTTTCTTTTTGACATAGGAAACTAGCCATTTCAATGACTCCGAACGTTTTTGTGTTCAGAACATGGCATTAATGTAGCGTGCCCTCTTTGTGCAATACAAACTAAAATAGTAATACACTATTGGATATTAAATTTTTTGACTGGGCAAACAAACTTTAGCGTACATTAACGCCATCTGTTGAACAAAACGCGCAACGATATATGTCATTGCTAGCTGAAAACCTATCTTATGAATGCTTCCTCGATTTAAGAATTCTTGTGTATTTGGTTAAACAGTGTTTTTTATGAAGAAATCGTGCTATAATGTACCAAATGTTATTTTCTTGGCTCCTTTCAAATCGGCATACCTGTTCAGGATTTTTTAGAATAATTTGATTGAATTAATTTTGTATGGTGTCTTCTTGTATCTAAAATGAATCTTTGTAATTTTCAATACTCGTTTTGTATAAACTTATCTTGTTCTTGTCTATACTATAAGCTAAATGTGCTTAAATATTTATGTAAACTATCTGTTAATCTTAACTGTTTATATTGGTCTAAGTCAGGGTGACTGGACCAAGGAAGATTTTTAAAGTTCAAGCAATACTAAGTTTTATTACCTATTTGGGGCAATTTGGTACCAGCCATCAAACAATTGGTACCTCGCTATATACCATTTGAAGTTTCCAGCAACAAGTTATAACACCTACAACTAGATTAAGTCTACTTCATCAAATTAAAACTGCACAAATTTTCAAAATCTCTCTTGTTCCAGCCGCCCTGACCCAGACTTTATATTGTACTATTCTCGTCTTTCGGATAATGCCATATTTTCAGAAAATGTTTCTCGTACTTTATCCTTCAAGAATGTTTAGCTGATATGCACTCAAAATAGGCTTCTAAATGAAACTAGGTTTCATTGATTCATATTTCAATAACTTGAAATTATTGACTAAAGCAAAACATACTTACGTATCGTGACGTGACTTTATATGAAACGCATTTGTTTGGAACATCCCAACAGATCTATGGCATATTTATTTTGAATTTAAAATGAAATGTAATAATGATCTATATGTATTTCTTTTTAAAACTTGTTATTTAGATGTACAATTTTATCTTCAGAAACATTTCTATTTATGTTTATATATAATAGTTTTCATATAAATTTCTCATTCGAATTAAGTGTAATTTGAGTAATGTAAGGCTAGTCAGGTCACAAAATAGAGTTAAGATTCGAATTTTAGAATATTTTTAGTTAGTTTTCATTTTGGGACTAGAAAAGGGGGCTTCGTTATGCATTTAATTATAGAACAATTTTAAAACTTAAGTGGTTTTGGCTAGAAATAAGCTAACATTTGCTCGTTTTAAGTAGCGTATATTTTATATAGTTGAATTATTTTTCTTTTCTTATTCTGTAGCAAACAGTATTTTATGAGACCAGTATTTCATTACTTCGGTTTTTGTAGTTTTTTTTTTATTAATACTGTTTAATAATGATTTTTGCAACACTAGAGCTGCTAATCTAGTGTTATATCTATCGAATTATACAATATTTGTCTATAGTCAGTCAACTTATGACAGCTAAGCTGATTGGACTATAGGACCTTACGTCTCACTAGCACCATCTATTGTGCACAAAATGGTAAAACCTACATAATATTTTGCCCTTATGTTATATCGATTATTTTTTTTAAACAAAACCAACTGTCTTTTTCAATTATTGATATAAGTTAACATACAGACTAGCGGTCTGTAAGACATCAAAATCACTTCAAATGATTTTCGACTTAATTATAAAAGTTTGAATTTGGAAATATTTGGAGACAAGCTCATACATGCGATGTTTCTCCTTGTTAATTATTATGATAGATTAATGTAAATTTAGAGCATTTATTAAAATGCCATTCGGTTAGTTTTTAATATTCTAAAATGTAATTTACGTATGTGTTGATGTACGTAGTAGTATTAAGAAAGGCAGTTATAATAAATCTTAGATTTGTTGCTTAAATATTGGGCCAGCATTTGCCAAAGTTACGGACCTTCGCGTTTCGTATCTTTAGCGCAAATGTTTATCCAATGTATTATCATAAGCATAGAATTTATTTTGTGATAGTAAATGCTTCAATATAATATTGATTACAAATATTGGCTGTTATGAAAGTAATTTTCGTACAATGGGTAAGTGCAAGATGAATGTATATTTGCTATTTAGATATAAGCCAAAGAACAAGATGTTATACGTATATTGAGCCTTTGGAATTTATGGAAAGTAAATAAAATATATTTTTTCGTCAATGTTTTTTTTTACATTATTATGAGTAATTACTTATTATTGCCAGAGTATTTTCTACTACTACTATAACTTTCCAAGAAGGAAACGCAACAGTGCTCTTAAAGTGTAAGTTCGCAGTTGCCGCGCCATACAAATTGTAGTTCACTTTACGTGGTTAAATAGGTGTCCACTTAATGTGGACACTGCATTTCGTGCTTGACTTCTCTCGCCCAGGGTAAGACGATAGGAAGTAAGAGTCTGCTCTTACTGACTAAAATCCCGGACAAAAAGGGAACAGCGGTGCTCAGCCCAAGCACTGTCACCGTATGCTTCATGGTGTCCTCTGGGTGGGCCTCACAATGACGACACTCGGGCATTTCTTCCCGCCGGATCCCAAACAGGAAACTACCGAAGCTGCCTTACCCGGTAAGCACATGCGTCAGGCGGAAAGTGAGGACGCCATAGCGTCTCTCAAGCCACTCCTCAAAGAGAGGGCTACCGCTGCCGTTACAGCGTACCCGGCCCTCGGCTGCTTGTACCAGTACCTGTGAGCTTATGCTTAGTTTGGGAGTTCAAGTTAACTTTCTAAGACGCGATAAACCTCTTCAACTGATGGTAAGTTTGATTATTATAATCTATCGTTGCCACTTGTTACAGCCTAGATTCTACAAAAATAAAGTAAGAAATAGTCAGTGGTGATCTGAGGATATGATTTAAAGCAAAAATTACGTGATCAATAAGATATGGACAGGTGTCGCAAAGAAAAGAAATTTTATGATAGGAGTAAGGCCTTGAAATCAAAATTGGTGAGAAACTATAGTATACGTGAGGCTTTGCCGAAATGGGCACGGTGTTTTGCATATTGATGCTTGCGTAAAATGAAATGATATTGCTGTCATGACTGTTAAGTGTCAAAAGATGGAATGTCACTTTTCTTATCAGAGTGAGTGAATGTTCAATGTTGTGTTGTCATAATATTTCAAAGTGAAAACGAATACCTAGATTAATTGAGTTATATATTCTGTTTGCATTATTATTAGGTATACCTATTACTATAGTTTCACAAAAATGGCAGACGCAGCAAAGGAGAAAGAGGAAAACCCGTTGGATATAGACGGAAGCAACTTCAATCCAGACATGTATTTAGATGTCCTCCTCAAATGTGCTACACTTAAGCAAGTGATGGACAAAGAGGCTGAAATAGTCACCCAGAGCCAGTTTCTACAGTCAGAAATGCAAACGTTAGTATACGAAAACTATAATAAGTTTATCTCTGCTACAGAAACTGTTCGAAAAATGAGAACAGATTTTAAAATAATGCAAGAAGAAATGAACAAGCTCAGTGAAAATATGAACAAAATAACTACATTTAGTGCCCAGATTTCTGATTCGTTGAGAGAAAGTGGTAATAATGTCAGCAGGTTGTGTGGGACAAGACAATTACTGGATAAGCTTCAGTTCTTATTCTTGTTGCCTTCCCAACTGAACAAAGCTATCGAAGACGGCAGGTATGCCGATGCTGTTCACGATTATACTCATGCTCAAAGAGTATTACAAAAGTATGGCAACCAGCCTTCATTCCAAAGCATTCAGACTGAGTGTTCTGAAATTATTTATGCTCTAAAGAAGACCTTACGAGAAAGACTGCTAAGCCCTGACACCTCAGCCTCTGAACTGGCTGAAAGTGTTGGCTTATTAAGACAACTCCAAGAAACAGACTCTTCTCTGCAAGATATTTTCCTAAGCTGTTCTGAAAGTAGACTTGACCAACACTTACAAGCATTAAGTGGGATGGTTGAAACTACTGATATCTTAGAGTGGGTTGAAAAATGCAATAACACTCTGTTAGCTGACCTTGGAATTATTATATCTTGTTACCATGATATGTTTCAAGATAAAGAGAGTACTAACATTCCAGATTTTGCAGACAAAATCATGTTGCAAGTATTTCACCTTTTTGAAGAAGTTGTCAAGAAACCAGAAAATATAGGAACTGAAATTTTGATCAGAGGGTTGGACAAATTCTTCAGGAAGTTACAGGCAATGACAGAGATCATTTCTAGTGACACCATGTCTAATAAAGCAATTGATGTAGTAATACAGTGCATCAATCATAAGGCTACAATACAGTATCAATCAATTCAATCTCAATTTAAAGATAGCCTGACTAAAGTAAGACAGTCATTAGCAAGTAAAGGTACAGATACCACTGACCTAAAGGATATATTGAATTCTCTCCAAGTATACTTGATGCAAAAAGTCCAAGCATCATTATTGGATCTCATGGCCTTCTTACAAAATAATCTCTCATTTGGTCTCAAACCATGGTGTGCGACAGCTGTAGCTGACACATGCTGGAAAGTAATTTCTGAGACTATGATTAATTTGTCTGATATGGTCAAAAAGATGGCTAGCGTACAAACATCAAATAACAATATTCCCTTTGAGTTACTATTAATCTTAGCTAAATTATGCTTAGAAATGCAAGTAAGTGGTGTCTCAACATTACATAATCACTTGCTAAAGCTTTTAGAAGAATCTGCCCCAGGGCTAACAATACCAAGTAAGGACACAAATAGTGTTATGGTACACCTTTCTACAGCTGCACAAGCTGCCTTGGATTGTGAGGTGGTCTTTATTGGGCAGACAGCAGCACAGATGTTAAGAGTGTCAGTGCTGGCTAGGGATTGGTTGAGAGCACCTGAACCGCGTGGGCCTCGTGCTGTTTGCCGCAGAGTAGTTGAAACGCTAGCTAGTGCAGACAGTGCAGCCTCGCAACTATTCCCGACGAGTATTAAACCTTCCAGTGATTCTAGTCGACGAACTATCTGGTCGCGCGCCCCATCTTCATTCTCACCACTTAACAGAATATTTTCCGAGAGAATTGAAGTTTTCAGTCCAGCTGGAGCTGACAGGGCGGCATTATCTAATGGAGCTCTGAAAGTAGCCTTAAAGGCGTTAGTTGAGTGTGTGAGGCTGCGCACGTTCGGCAAGCACGGCTTGCAACAGTTGCAGGTGGATGTGCATTTCCTACAACAGAGGTTGTCTTGTATGGGGAATGATGAAAGATTACTCAATGCTTTGCTCGAAGATGCGCTTGCTTCTGCGCAGCTGAGATGCGTCGACCCACAACTTATGGAACCTAGTATTGTAGATATTATTTGTGAAAGAGGATAAATCTTACTATAACTGTATTTAATATAAAACTAATGTATATTCATAATTTGTCTGAATAAAATAAACATTATAATAATTTTTAGACAATTTATTTATAACCCATTAATCAAAATTGCATCATCATATTAAAAATAATGATATCATCTACATATATAAAATTTTATGTTAAATGCTTCTAAAACATAAATCTCACAATACGGACTACTCTTTTATATTTTAGCAATTAATTACATTTTACACTGTTAGTCACGAGAGGAGAATAAACATTATTTAAAATTAAAAACAACATAATATATTATTACCATTAGAAACAGAGAAATTGATATATTTTGGTCCTAGTTCACTATAAATTTGGAGAGTATCATTGTATGAATACCCATTGACTAAGAAGACACATGGTCTGAATTCAACTAAAATCTTTGACCCTGGCTAATCATCAAGCAACATCAGAAAACTAACTGCGGTATATTTTATAACGATTGAAACTACTTGTGGCGCTGATTCTTTTGTGCATCTCTCTAGAGGCTATGTTGCTAAAATTAAAATCAATGTGAAGATCATACCTTATTTTTATTTCGGTCCCACAGATGGTGAGTAAAAAACTTTTATATCCGAACAAGAGAATCAACACCATTTAAATATCTGGTACCAACATTAACGGGCGAACATTATCAAAGAGTGCCATATAAAATGTACTGTAGCTACACTAAATGTATATGGTAAAACATTTGCAAATATCTCAACAACTTGGTAAAGCGATGTGGGGAATCCAGACTTTGTGGATATATTCATCCAGTGTAAATCACAATTTTAACAGGATTATTCAGAATATCCTTATCCTGGACTCCACCGATGCACCCTATGGTATTGAACTACATAACTTCATTTATATTTTTATTATAAATAGATGACTAGATTAGAGTACTATACCTCTGATCTAGTCACAACATACAAAATTACCAAATTGAGGTGTTGTTGTTTTTAGTTATTTCACATATGAAAAATCTGGTAGGTACTTAAAATTCCTCTAGTCCCTTATAATAATGATGAAAAAATACTACGAAGCACTAATTAACCCAAACTCCGCGATCGGGAAGCTCAATTATTCATTATTATAAGCATTGTATATTACAAATCCATTCAAATCAATATAATTGTGTGAACAATTTCAATAATAAGCTCATTTTAAAACATCCGATATTTATAAACTTCATTAAGAACTCCGTTATTCTAATATCATTTTAAAACTCAAGTTTTGCACCTTCTCGCAATGTAGTTACGCTTACTACCATTCCAAAAACAATTCGATAAATCATTGAATGGTGAACATTTACAGTTTAACTGAAAAGTACAGCATGCTAGCTGATAATGCCAACGGAAATTATTATGCCTAGATCTAATAACATAAATATTTACTCTTATACATATATAATATCTAAACTCTAGAACAAATTGACAAAATATACTTATTTAAGTTCTCATTTACATATAGACAAGATCAACGCCTATCTAACTGACTCACGATAAAATATTGTTTGTTGATGTACCATTTCCATCAAATGTGTAAAAATATTTTTATTTAACAATGGTCCGTTTGTTACGATTGTGAGCCTTGTGATGCGTGATATTATCTAAACATACTAGCGGTCCCCTTACTAATAACATCCCGAAATACAGGGAACATATTATTCAGTCCAACTTCGTAACGCGAACCAATCTATTTAATACAATATCTACTTATTATTCTTTTGCATAAGTTTCCTCATTTTCTCTGGCACGGGCACGCCCCGGTGAGCGCCCGTCCTCCTTGGCTTTACGCTGCTCTTCGCTTCAGACTTTTCAGGTTTAGGTTTCTTCGCTTCTGCCGGAGTTTTTGTATCTTTGTCAAGAGATTTTCTTGTTTGTTTTGCTTCCTGTTTGTTCAATTTTGCATTGGTAGAGGTACTACTGTCGCTCCGCGTGCTTGACTTTCTTGAAGCCGGAGCTTGTTTAGGTTTGTCGGCAACGCTAGATTTACGGGGCGCTGGTTTGATGACAGGTTTAACCTCGGGCGGCGGTGACCGCCGGCGACGTATTCGCGGCGGAGTGTGCGCCAGAGTCGTGTGCCGCGACAACAGAGCCGCGCTACTAAACAACTGGCCACAGTCACATCTGTGCTCCACTTCCAATGTTCCTGGCAAAATAAGACATCAATTAGAAACTTAACAATGGAAAAATAATATTTTTGTCATCGACAATAGAAAAATTGCTACTTACTTCTCTTGATCTGTTTCACGGGCATTGGTTTGTGCCTGGCTATGACAGCTTTCCCCAAGGATTTTCTCTTTGCAATCCCACTCAAAGACTTTCGCTTATCAGCTAAGGTTTTCTTTTGAGGTGTGCGGTCTTGTGCGGGTTTCGTTGATTTTTCAGGAATGGTTTTTGGGAAAGAGTATTTCACAGTTTCACTATCATCAGAGTCAGTCGAAGGTAATGGTTCTACTTTAGGCGTTTTGGCTATAATTTTTACAGATGCTGGTTCCACGGGTTTCGGTTTCAAGCGCGGAATTTTGGGCGGGTGTTGTAAAGATGTTCTCCTCTTAACTAAATCTTTGGAATTTGGCCGTTCTATTTGGAGAGAACTCCGCTTATTTGCCCGAACTTTCATGAAGACTTTTTCTTCCGTTACGTCTTCGACTTGGAAGTTTGGATTCAGCATATATCTAACCTCATCATCGTCACTCGATTCTACTGCTGGTTTATTGTCTTGAGAACTGGAAACTTGTGCCGGCGATGTAGTTTTGAGACGCTTGTTTATGCTTGGCGCAGATTTTTCTTTCGGAGAAACTTTCTTTTTAGGTGTTTCGTGATCTTTAGTTTCTGAAACTTCAACCTTTTTGATTTTTTCCGGAACTTCGGGTTTAACTTCTGTTTTAACATTTTCTGTCTCTGAAAACTCTCTCTTTGTAGGAGCAGAAAGTTGTGGTTCAACGGGTTTGGTTTCAATTTTCTGTGGAACAGTCTCAATTTCTCTGTGTACCTCTTTAACAACTTCTGCAGGTTTTTCTTCAATTGGTTTAGGCTTCTCTACAGGGACTTCGATCTTTTCAACTTCATTTTTGTGCAAATCTTCTTTTACTTCTACTTCGACTACTTTCGGAGTTTCAACATTGTCACTCTTTTCTTCTGCTTTAGCAGACTCATTTGAGTCTTCAACAGATTCTCCTGCTTCTGAGCCTTCGACCGGTTTGGCTTGTTTTGATTGTCTCTTTTTTCTTAGACAGATAATTGTGTGTTTGTTTAGGGAATGCTCGTTAGGAAATACCATGTAGCAAAGAGAACACTCATGTATTATATCTTTGGTTGACAAAGAACTCTTAACGCTCTTATCGTCTGACTTTTCTGAACTAGTTTCAACATGTTGTTCCTTGTGTTCAATCAAGTGATGAAGTTTTCTGAAAGTTTTCTTACAAACTTCGCATTGGTGTAAAGTCACAGGCTTCTCAACATTATTATGTACCACAGCTGGCGTAGTTTTCTGCCTATTAATACCATCGTGGGTTTCCCTATGTTCCACTAAATGATGTAACTTTCTAAATGATTTGTCGCAAGGTTCGCAGCGGAAACCAGCGCTTGCATCTTCGCTGTGTTTAGAACTATTTGGTTCTTTTTCAATCTTGGTGTCAGATTGCTCCGAAGAACTCTTTCTCTGAGTTCTTGTAGGTGCTGAGCTAGGGTTGTGAATAATCCGATGCTGAACTAAATGATGTAACTTTCTGAAATCTTTCTTGCAGACTTCACAGCTGTACACTGATTTGATCGCGGTAGGAGCTTCCTTCTCTACTTTCTTCGGCTCCTCTTTCTTATGTTGTAATTTATGACTCACCAAGTAAGATAACTGCCTGAATGTTTTACCACAGAACTCGCAAACCAGATCATTACCTTTATTGAATAGTTTTGCTCTAGGTTTTCTAGATTCGTGTATTTTTCTGTCGTCAATTTCCTTTTCTTTTCTTTCAGGCTTCTCTTTAATTGGTGGCGTATCTTCAATAACGATAACTTCGTCTTTATCATCGAATTTAGCAATAGAATCCTTGGATTTACGTTTCTTAGGAGTTTCCTTTCTAACAACAAGAGGTTTATCATCGTCGAGATCCATATCATCCGATTTGCTACTTTGTGACTTTGAATCAGATTCCTGTGATGGTCTCATCCTCCTGGGGCTTCTTTTGTCTGAGCCAGATCGACTCGGTGAAGGACCGGTACAATGTTTGACATGTTTAAAAACTACGTTCTCAGTTCTAAATAACTTATTACATATTGGGCAAACTATGTTTTCATTGATTTTTCCCATTGTCCAATTTTCTTTGATGATGGCATCATCACTGTCGTCATCATCGTCATCAGTTGTTGTCACGGGATCACGTTTAGGAACTTTGGCATCTATTAATCGAGGTTTCTTTTGTGGGCTTGGCACTTTAGTCTTTTCGACACCTCCTTCCGGAAGTGGGTACTTCCTCGGACGGCCCCTTCCTCTTTTCACAGGGGTACTCTGCTGACTGTCATTATTCGGAGAATCAACAATGTTTCTGTTCTCTGATTGGTGTTCTAGTAGCTCAGCAGCTTTCACTAAATTATCTATAGCTGAAACTGCATTCTTATGTGAGACGCCATTGTCGTTTAGATTTACAGTCTCTTTGAGAGGGTTTTTAATTACATCTGTTGCTGGTGTATATTTTTCATCAGCTACTGTGTTAGAGCCAATAAGGTAATACTTCTTTCGCATCGGATATTTTATTGTTTTATCTGATTTCTCTTCTTCAGTTTTTCTTTTCTTCTTAGGTGATGCTTCAAGACCCAAATCTTTTGGTTCAATCAATTCTAATTCGGGTTCATCGACAGGAGTTAGAACTTGTTTTCTTTGATGTTTGGACTTTGTTTTAATTTCTTCTTGTGCCTTAGAATCTTCAGTTGTATCTAATGTTTCCGATTCTAAAGAGTCAAGAGTGCTAACAGTGAAATTATCGGAATCAGTAACTAATTTCTTAGTGGGAGAAAGGTGTTGTCCCTGAAGATTAAGTGAGCTGGGAACGAATTCCATGTTATCCATGAATACTACTTTTACTGGTTTGTCTTCAATAATAGTAATAGGACCCTCTAATTGACGTTTGGCTGACAAAGCAGAATGATATGCTTTTTGTAATTTAGATTGATTCCTGTTAGAAGAATCTTCATTAGCAGTAGTACCCACTCTAGGTCCGTGTACTTTAGCTGGTTGTATATTAGGACGCACGTTCTGGTACTTGTATGGTGCTTTGGCTTTCGGATCAACTCGTGCGATATCATTTTTAGAATAACTCTTTGGATACAGATCTTTCTCTACCACTGTTTGGATAACATTACGAGAATCTTTACTATCTAAGTTCATGGTGAGGCAATTTTCATAAGTTTTAGAATTACGTCTCGCGAACTTGTCAAAATCTTTTTCTGTGATTATAGGTTCCTTTTTGCCAGCATCTTGTTTGGATTTATCTGTATTAGCATAAGACTTTGCTTTTTCTTTAGGAGGTAATTTAGCGCTTACAGTTTTCTTAGTTACAGCAATATCACCTGTAATGGGTTCATGCTCTATTACTTCGTCTTCAGAGTCTACTTCGATTACATTATCCTTAATCATTTTTGTCGGATTTTTATTTGAAAATGGTAAGAGATTTGGTATTTTTGAAGTTTTATTATGAATGTTTGACTTTTGCTTATCAATTTTAGAATATGTTTTGGGTACAGGTTCTGCTACAGGAACCACTGGTAATTCATGTGGAGGTCTTTCGATAAATGGTATACCATGTAATTCATTCATTTTCATTTCTATTTCGTCCAGAGTAGCTTGGTCAGTTGGTTTATAATTTGGTGGGAACTTACCACTTTGAGAAATATTGGACTCTTTCGCAGCAGTTTGACTTGGCTCATCTTGAGGTTTTGTAGGAGCTACTGTTCTGTGTATCATATCTTCAATAGTTTTATCAATTAAGTCTTGGTAATTTACTTCTGTTCGTTGAGCACTGTCTTTCTTAACGCTAGTCACACTTGCGACTTGAGTGGCTTCGTTTTGAATGTTATTTGGAACATCTTCCTTAACAGGAGCTTTTTCAGCAACAGCTTCAGACGTCTCTTTCACGATTTCGGGTTTTGCCAGAACCTTAACTTCTTGTATGTTGTCCTTCTTTTGAATTAAGTTGGTTTTGCTGACAAATGCTGTCTCGTTTTTGTTTACATTTTTATTGGCTTCTTGATTTTTCGCTAGAGCTGCTGCATTGTTCGACTGTTGCCTTTGACTATCAATTTTTTGGAGAACGTCTCGCCTGTTGAGGTCATTCGTATTTTTAAGCTGATTACTACTTGTAGATGGTACAGCAGGAGCTACAGTAGTTCTAGTTTTAATTTTAATCAAGAACTCTTTTCTGTTTGTTGCTGTCCATTTTCCGAAAGGTACTGCTTCTTTACTACCTCCCGATTCGTCCGTATTAGAATCATCCCTAGCATCTCCAGTTTCATGTTTGTTGTCACTACTTTGTGAAGGAAGACTGTCTGTTGATGTGCTGGTGACATCTTGAACGCCTGAACAGCTTGGTTGTTCTTCTTTTGGAACTGAACTGCTTTTTACAACTTCATCTTTTTTCTGTTTGACAGGTATAGATTCTTTGGGGGCTATTTTAATATCAGCGTCTTTAGTGTTGATTTGTGGATTAACTACAGACAGATTTTGAGATGACACAGGTTTTTGTTCCTTTACTTCCCTACTAGGCACTTTGTTACTTTTGTCCACAGATTTCTCAGAAGCGTCTGCTTTTATATTGGTCGTACTGTCAATTTTTAAACGCATTATGCTAGATTGAGATTCAGCAAATGGTACTGGCTTAGATAACTTTTTGGGAGATTTTTCAAGTACATTATTTTCCTTTTGAGGCATAACTTCTGTTTTAGAAGTTGTAGACGAAATAGGAGCTGTGGTTTTACTTGTTAATGCTTCAGGTACGTAGATCAGCTTATCTTGACTTTTATCCACTTTTGTTTCTAGTTTTTGAGGTTTTTCTATTTTACTGTAAGGCTGTGTTGGTACTTCAGCCACTGGAATATGTTTGACTACTTCCTTAGCATTCTTTTCTGTTAGACCTGCTTCTTTAAAATTTTCGACATTTAATTCAACTTTTTCTTCATTTAGATTAATAGGTATAGAAAGATCTTTAGTCTGCAAATTCTCACTTTCAATTGGTTCTTTTGTTACTGATTCCGTTTTTGTTGTTGGTATTGGAATTTTAGATTGACTAATTTTTGTAATCTCGTTTGACATTGATAACTCACTTTTAGTTGGTTCCTCGTGGTTTTCAAGATTGGCCTTAAAAGTTACACTAGACTCTTTTTTATTTTTGTCTCCAGGACATTCATTTATTTTTGTAATAGCTTCATTTTGCTTTGAAATACCTGACTCTAGATTACTTTGTTTATGGGCTTCAAGTTTCACGTCAGAAGTCTTATCTTCCATCTTAGAATCGTCGATTTCAATATCGTCAATAATTATAATATCATCATTATCTTGATCTGTTGTTACATCATAAATAATTTCTTCAATTTTGGTCTTATCTTGATTATCACATTGAGTATTGTCTATAACTGTTACTTTAACTTCTTTATTAGTAACATCAATATTTTTTATACCCTCATCTTCAGATATCGGAACAGACTCAGATTGTTTTGCTTCAACTTGACTTGTTACTTTCACATTTTCTTTTTTTCCTATTTCAACTTGATCAATTGGAACAGGCCCTTCTATCTTTTCTTCTACTTTATTACCTGCACTGTCAACAACTTCTTCTACAATAACAACATCAGTTTTCTCTATAACATTTAAATTTTTGTCACTACTTTTTTCTTCTTTGTGCTCTTCACATACTTTTACGTCTTCAACTTTTTCCTTAATTATTGCTTTATCACAAGTCATATCTTTATCCGTTGAATCAACAACATTCTCTTGGTCAGCTGGAAGTTGTATGATATCATCACATTTTTCATTCAATACTTCATTAGTACTTGGCACCGAAACTTTAGCATTATCACTGTCTAAGTTCTTTACTACTGTACTATTCTTATCTGCCTCTTTAGACATATCTACTTTTTCAACTGATTCATCTATTACCAGTTCTTTTTCACTTATTTCTTCAATGTTTTTTTTATCATTATTAACATCAACAATTTTGCATTCATCATTGACATCAACAATTTTGCATTCATCATTGACATCAACAATTTTGCAGTCATCCTTGACATCAACATTTTTGCAGCCATCATTGACATCAACATTTTTGCAGTCATCATTGACATCAACATTTTTGCAGTCATCATTGACATCAACATTTTTGCAGCCATCATCGACATCAATATTTTTGCAGCCATCATCGACATCAACATTTTTTCCATCATCATTTACTTCAAGACTTTTGCTGTCACCACTGACATCAACATTTGTATTGTCATCACTGACATCTTTATTTTTAATTGGTGTTTCAGCAGTCCTTTGCTTGCTACTGTCAGTATGAACTTCTATTGTTTTCTTTACATTATCTGAATGCCTGTTAGGGTGCAGCTGTTGGTCTACCATTGTCTTAGTCAATGGTATGCGTTCTTTATTTGGTGTGGAATGGTATGTCATGGGTGTATAACTACCTATAACAGGTGATTTTCTTGATTCACTGAATTTCATCATTTTACCATTTATATTCAGTTCAGTTTTAGCATCAGATGATGATTCTTTATTACCATCAACATCAACCTCTGTTCTTGTTAAAATTGGTTCTTTTCTGGGCACTTTAGTTTTTCTTTCAGCAACTTTGTTGCACCCAGACTCACTAATAACTTTATTGATATCTGTTATAGGCACATGTGATGATGTCTTCTTTTCAGGCATCTTCCCTTCTTTTGCAGGCTGAAAGGCAGAAGATTTAATAAATATTTAATTTTTAGAACAGAAAATTTAACTTCTTTAAATATAAATAAGTAAATGTCTTATTAATAAATATGTTTAAATTAGCATTGTCAACAAAATAAACAAACTAAAAATTTAATTTCTACATGTTTATAAAAATAAAAACTCCTTACCACTTCTTTAGGTACTTCTATTTCTATTTCTTCATAAACTTCTAAATTACCCTCAGCATTTTCACTGAAATATTGATAACACAAATCAATATGAGATATCTAACACAAATTACCAATCATTGAGATACCTTTGTAGTAATTATAAATAAACCTTCACATTATTATAATAATATTAGTAAAAGACACGAGATCCCATATCCTTAAAATTGTTTAAGTGTGGGAGAGCCATGCTTTGGCACGGGGAAAGTCATCCAATGGCTGGATGTGGCGAAAGGGAGTGCAAGACTCTCACTGACTCAAATACCACCCCATTTGTTTTTCTGCTCCAGGCCTTCAGGCCACAATGCTGATTGCTAAATATATTCAATGCACATTGCATTTCAACAGATGCATTAATACAGACATCAATATAATACAGTTATAATCAGATATGATAATCATATTTTTAAATGCCAAATGTTTGTTTACATACCTGTTATCATTTATTTTTAGGTCAATCAAAGGTGAGTTTGTAGTCAGAATTAGGTCTAGTAATAACAAACTTGTTGTCTATCTTAAGCTTTAAAAGTAATATCCTTCGGAATAGAAACTAAGTATAACTGTTAATTGAGGTAGCTTCTTATCTTATATCTTATAAACATGATAAATTAAGAATTCATAATTTGCAATAGGAACTTTGTTGTTATTGTAGGTTTTTGTTTGCATTTACAATTCTGAGTAATCATGGTAAACAAATGTAAAACTCTGTCAGAATATGATCTCGGTCTTTTATGAAATAAAAAAATAAGTCAAAACACAGTGTGGGTGTTTGCCCTTGAACACTTTTAGAACTAAACATAGAATATTATGGTATGTCTAAGTGGAGGCATTTTATGAAGGTAAAAATAGAGAATCTATATTTCAATTAGGTCAGAACTTATAGATGCTCTGATTTTATCTTGAAATTTTAAACTAGATTGGTATTTATAGATTACTGTATTTAAATGATACCCTGGTGATTGCAGTTATTAATTATATCTAACTAAATGTGATTTGTTTCATATCTATAAGTTAAACATTGATTACTCAATTAAGGTGATGATTTTGGTAAAGGTCTCAATTAGTTTTTAAGTAAAATTTTATAAGCATAATACTATTATACTTAACATAATTTTGCAAACTTAAAGGATCTTTACATACTTCATGAAACATTTCCAAAACTATGTTTACTTTTTACTACCCAAACAAATAAAAAATATTAGGTAAGAATGACTCACCGCACTTTCAGGAACTTGAAGCTGGTTTGCTGTTGATCATCATCAATTATCTGGACTGCAGCCAGCTCCTCCTGCCCTTCCTTCCTATACAAGTACAATCCATTACCAATATCTATAGCATCTACGTTTTTACCATCAATTTGTAGCACCACTTCAGTATCTTTACTAGCTATGTCCATCTCCTCATTTATCAAAGTAGATTCAATCATATTCTCATCAGACTTAAATTGCATTTCCTCTGGCTGCTTCATTTCTGAACTTGACTTGTCATCAACATCAACATTGTCATCAATCACCAGCTCATCTCCATCATAAGAATTGTCATTATCATCAAATATATCCACACCGCCTGACAAAATGTTAGCTGCTTCAATCTGTTTACCAATTTTGTAGGTATCTAGCATATCACTTTTCTTTCCAATTGGTGATAGATTTGATATCAGCTCGTCGGCATTTGTTATGGTCCCTTCGGTATCAGTGGCGGTACTAGACAGTGAAACATCTTTTATAGAAGAAATGTCGAAAGTTGAGTCAACAGAGTCCACTTCTGACAGAGAAAAGTATTTGGAGGAGCTCTCGTTGGCGGTCATGAAAGACTCGCTCGGGGGGGACGTGGTGTCGAGCGTGGAGTCCCGCGAGCCCCCCGCTTCTCCCCGCAAGTGGTTCAGCCTATCCATTTGCACACTTCATCTGCTGCGACAACAGGAAAATGATAATTTAGTTACAATGCACAATATGATCACAGCAACAATACACTTCATCGATCATAAGAAAGCTAATGAAAACATTTGAAGGTTGGTCGATTAATTAGCACCTAGGTCAATAGCAAAGAACAGTGAAACTTTTAGAACAAACGATAATGATACTGTGACACTTTCGATAAAAAATATTAAATCACATCGTACCAAGTAATTATTTTATGTTATAGTACTCAGATAAGACTTTTGAATAGAATTTATGTATTAAATAAATTGTAGAAGTAATAACAACAATTTTATTACAATTTTGTTAAAATATCACAACACATCAAAAGATTAAAGATGGACGCCAAATAGCAATGTTGCCGTTATTTTGCATGTCATTATGTTGATAAAAATTGCAAACAAAAATATCACAAACGTCTGTTAAAATTACATTTTGTATTAAATTATGAAAATTAATTGTCTGTATAATCATAAGCTTTCATTGAAACTATAATGATACAAACTTTAGTGAGAACTATCCATAAAATTGTAAAAATCAGGTTGTATTTTTTTAGTTGGCAAGTATAGCGCACTGTAATGGATGCTGCTGATAATGCAAAATACCTATCGTTATGGTGTCAATGACCTATGTGAATATGAAAGCAAAGACCTTGTACTTAAAACTAGACTGTGCACCAAATTTTTTTGTTTAGCTAAAATGTGCTTTATCCCGTTGTGTATAGGGTAGCTATTTTCTTAAAAGCGTTAACAAACTAAAACCGGTCCAGGCGAGAGGGCTCCTCACGGTAGTGTGTCCTTGTCTCACATATTGCCAGCTCAACTAACCTTAGAGGTTGGTAGAAATGGTAGAAAATTAAATATAATTATGTTTTATGTTTTAACAAAACAAACAATTCATAAACTACAAAACGTATATAAATGTCTTTATAGTCCTTATAATTAATAGTCAATTTGCGGTATTATACGAAAAATCATTAATACAGAGTAAACAGTAGTACTTGAATGTTTGTGTTTGGTAACAATTAATGCAAGATGGCGGTTTGCTGATTTCGGGTTAGGGTAACAATGAATTTTCTCGATCAAAGATTTTCTTACTATACCGCAGTAGATAGGCAGAAGATACGACTAACTGTTTTTGTCCTTTGTGTCCTTCTCATTTTTTATTTTATTATTTTAAAGAACTTGTTAATACCAATGATATTATAAGTAAACAGGTGTAAATAGGTTATAAGCGTCCAGTAAGTGTTACATTAAAATGTGGTGCAATGTAGAAGCAAATACGAAACGTGTAAGCTGGACGATCGTCTTTAATTAAGTGTATATACCTAATAACTTACACTACTTAAGGGGAGAGATCTCACACACTACACCTTCCCCGTTTTTTAGAAAGTAAAAAATATAGCCTAAAACACATTATTTCTTATAATAAAAACTTAATAAACATTTACTTTAAATATTCGCACTGTTGACAATTACTTATATAATAGAATTTTTGAATGTTTTATAGAATTAGATAAAGTAATGTAAAAAATAATGCTTACCAAGCTTGTCAGAAAACAAAATTGTAATTATATTAATCTGAGGCTTCAACATGTGTTCAATGTAGTAAAGTATATAGAAAAACTTTTTTTGGTAATCTCTCCTGATTTACAGTGCTTGAATATAAATAAATGCTTAATATGATAGTACATCAATTCACCCCTAAAATTAAGCACCTTTTGCCTGCCCATCCAGCATCTGACGAATCCCACGAATTGGAACTGATTTAATGTATTGATAAAAAAAAAACTTAAATTTAAGACATAAAAGCTACGGGAAGACTTTAAGCCTCAAGCATGTAGGAAATAGGGCTACATTATGACAAAAATTGCGTAAAACTGTATTGTTCAGCAATGTATAAAAATAAATCAATATTAAAAGAAAACAGTCTTTTTCATTCCACAATACTGCATCACATTCATTTGCCCTAACACTCATTTAATAATAATCCTCCTCATCATCTTAGCAAATGTTATCCCGGTTACATATGCTAAGCTTTCACCTAGGAGCTTGCCAAGGTTCGCCGAATACGATCTTGGAGTGGCGAGTCTGATAATTACAGTAAAGCGATTGCCATCTGACTTTCGTAGCCACAAGGGGAATCAGACAAATTTTTCGGATAATGGTTAAACATTCAGCCAACCTCACGGTGTATTCCCTCGCCGAAATCATCATTTTCCTGTAGGTAATATTAATATGGTGGTGGGAATATATCACTTTTAAAGTAGAAAAAAGTACTTTCAACCCTTACCCACGTGTACAGATTACTATATAAATACTTACTTACTTACTTACTTTACTTACAGGTTCTATAGATTTAAAAAAGTAATTTTTAACAAAAAAAACCAACTTCCAAAATTTATTTTTTGCTTTTTAGTTTAGTTATTTTGGAAGTCGGTTTTTTTGTTAAAAAATATTTTATTTTACCATTTTAAGTGATAGGCAGAAAAAGCTAGCATGCTTCTCGAAAGAGAAGACGACGGCTATTTGAGACCGAAAATCACGGTAATAATAGTCCTGAGTTAGTCAGCTTTGAATGCTGTAAATCGTAGAGGAATTCCCTCAAATGTCAATGACTTCCATCATCAGGTATACTGCAGACCTTCATTATACACAATCCATATAGGTGCAAAGTTCTCATCAATATAAATGAATTAAGTCCAAACAGGAGGTAGTTACTGAAAACCGTTCTGGAGTTCCCTGAGTTGTCTTTCATTCTCATCATCAGACCCTTATTGACAGTCACTACCAATCTTTGTGCAAAGTGCTCATCAATACGAATCATTCAAGCCCAAACACAAGGCAACTACTTCAAATAGTCAAGGAGATCCCTCGATTGTCTTCCGGCTCCATCATCAGGTCGAGTTCGAACATCGGCAAGTTGTAGCGTTGTCAAAAGCCTACTAAAACCACATGCAAAAGCACCACTCGTACCATCAATTTTTGAAAGTTCTCAATTTCTCTGGTCTTCCATCATCAGATCCTGATTTCCTTATCATGGGACCATTCTAAAACTATCTCCTTGCCAACAAAAAAGAATTATCAAAATCGGTTCATTAATAACGGAGATATCGGCGAACAAACATAAAAAAGCATATATATATGGTCGAATTGAGAACCATCCTCCTTTTTGGAAGTCGAGTAAAAATATACACACGTTTTGGATTGTTGGTTTTTTCTTACAAAAAATTAGGTTGGTGAAGTTACGCTAGTTTGGTAGTATCAATATATCATGATACTTAAATAATCGTTTTTACAAGCAATTTGTCCCGTATTCTGTTTGGTCATGGTCACTACATTAGAAAGGGACACACTACCATCGGGAGCTGTCTCGCACCGGCTCGGTTTTTGCGCCTCAGTGCACAGTCTAGTTTAGAGTATAAGGTCTTTGTATGAAAGTCTTATAAACCATTTTCTATCACAGAATACTAAGTGTTTTTAAATTTTGTTGACTTATTATTGTATCAAAAATATTTTTTATCATAAATCAGACGATTAATTAATTAAAACCCAAGGAAAAATAATATAAATTGAACTTCTCGCTTTTGCCTTATCATTTAATTTTATTGAATGTCCTTGATTATAAATTGAATTTATAAATCTTCTACTGCAAAATAATAATATATTTAGAAGATAAACAAGATATTTAAGGGTTGATTCGTAGTTTGTGAATCGTTATATCATTATAATTTACCATAAATCATAAAATGTTCACTATTCTAATGTCTATTATCCTGCCCAGCTACATAAGCAAATTATGTAGCTGGGCAGGATTAAAAAAAGAAGAGTGGGCGAGGGCTAGAGCTTAAACAATATTTTTCAATAATTTTGTTTCTGAATTGTAATTACATAATGTGTTTAAATTTTTTTTTTTTTTACTACCTTTACAAATGCACGTCTTCTATTTTTTTCCATAACTGTATGTCAAAATGAAATCATTTGTCAATGTCAAATCATCAAAAGCGTTATTTTCGAAAGTTGTTTGCTAGCTAAGCTTCGCTTTAGTGTTTATCTCGTTTGTTTAATATTACGTTGATAAAAGAATATCAAAAAGGAATTATGGCGCCTCGAGGGACTCCAAAACGATTAGTAAACGTGCAAACCGTTGTAAAAGACATGCCTGCTAAAGGTCGGGCGTCGCCAGTCGGAGCGATAAAAAAGACCACTGTTATGAAAAAGCCCGTGGATAAAACACCAATTATAAGTAAGTAATAATCCTATTTTTAAACTTCTAATATGTAAATTATGCACATGATAAGGGTGGTGTGTATTTTTAAACCAAATATAGAAAATTTTGGAAGCTCACGAACACGGCCGAAAGCTAACAGCCTTATAACGTGATGACATTCATACCATAATTGGTCAAATTTTGGCGTTACATTGTAACGCTGATTAGTAGCAGGAGTAAGAACAGGGTGGTTTTTAGTTACCTAATTGTTTGACACTCCCTCTCGACTAGTGAGGCGCCTCTAGCTCTGAGTGCAGAGCCAGAAGACCCTAACCACCTCAATTAAAATCCCTAGGAATAGAATCATGCCCACCGTCTCAGTATCATACATATTATGAAATGTTGCGAAGTTCAAGAAAATAATAAAAACAATCAAACTGATATCTAATCCAAATCAAGTTTAGCTCAGTGGTAGGGTAAGTGGTAGCCTTAGGGGCGGATAATTTATTAATTTCACTGTTAGACGCATTACATTCAAAATAATGACTTAATTTTCAGTAAAGAACACTACAACGGCTGAAGCCAGGGTGACAAGACAACGGACCAGCACAGTTCCAACCTTAGCCACACCAAAACCAAAGGAGAACAAAGCAGTTCCAATACCCAGCAGTGTCACCAAGAGCGGTAAGAAACCTTCGTGGAAGAGAAGGCCAAAACCGGCACATTCCGGGGTCCCCATTCCTGAGAAGATGAGGAAACTCATGGAAAAGCAGTTTTTAGATTCAGAATTTGATTTATAAGTTTGTGATTATGACTTATTTGTATGAACGGCACATCAAGGTATCCATGTAAAAAAGATTTTTAACTCTATTGCTAAAAGATAAAGTTCAAAATCAAGGTTTGCTTTGTAAGTTGGTGGTATTTTAATACTTGTTTTTATGAATGGACACTAGCAGATCAAGATATCTTCTACTGATGTGTTAATGTCTTTTATAAAGACAAACAATAATATACCTTGTGTTTAGAGCCACAAATGTTACTTTAATATTTTAGTCTTTAGATTTAGATTTTATTAGTTTTTAATTTCTTGACTTTTTAATTAGGTACTTTTAATATTTTCATTGTGTATAATTACCAGGTTGTGTTGTATATAGCTCGGGATATATAACCAACCTTTTTTTGACAAATTTTGACTTGTCTTGACACTTGGTAGAAATTATGAGTATAAACTCATAACTTTAATATTAAAAAAACAAAATACAATAAGATATTATGATTGTATATTCAATAGAGTATCTTTACAGTATCAGGACCTCCTTACAGCTTAAGTAAAGCTTCCGTTTGTGTATGATGTTCAATACATGTTGCCATTAGTAATAGTTTTTACGCCCTGTTCTCATTGTCTGTGTATGTATAAGTTACTCCATTAATAAGTCATATTAAAAAAAATGTGAGTCTGATAATCCAACAAACTAGTGGCCTCTTTCACCTTTTAAAAAAACACCTTTTAAACTTCCTGCATATTAATAGTAGAATATAATACTGTGAGAGTAAGGTTGCCAGAGATCCAATTCACCCCCAACAAGGCCCTAGCCCATTCTCACCCAGTTACTCCAAAATCTCCAAATTGGGATTAGGGCCCCAAAAGGTCGGCGACGCACTCGTAACTAATCTGTTGTTGTGGGTGTCCATGGATGGGGCTATGGCTTACTTCATGTGATATGATTGCTCTGACCAAGTTGCCACTAAAAGATCTGAATGCTTGTTTCACCTGCCTTCATTCATCCAATAAACTTTGGTGGCACATTATTCAATCATACACATTGCATTATATATTTTTTATCTGTTACATTTAGTAGCTATACAAATATTTTGAAGAAGGTTTGGATATTTAAGAACAGTTGTTTGATTTTGTTACTTGCTATTTTTATATTACAAAAAATAGTAGTGTAGTAAAATTGTAGCTTTATTCCAGTCCTATTAATAATTTAATATTATTAATAATAGAGACAGCTTAGGATACACTTAACATTTAGTGCCAAATTTAGATTTTAATACTTAATCTTTTATAGAATGGGAATTGAAGTGATAATAATGTAGAAATTATTAATAAATTGTTTTAATTTTATATAAAAGGGCTTAAAATTAGTTGTATTGTTACATTTATATGACATTGCATTCTAAGCTTTATAACTAGAGGAATAAGAGTAAACTAGACAATGAGGAAGTTAAGAAATTCAAAGTAGCCTATGTCATCTCCATAAGTTTTCTTTAACTTTGAGCTTTAAGTGATTAATAAGAAAGTTAGTTATACAGTAACAAAAAAAACTGCATTCTCCTTAATTGTGTCATTAACTGTGAACTTTGAGGACCTAGGAATAAAGTTTATAATGCTGTACCAAAAAATATCACCAGTTGCCTTATCCCACTGATTTCGCTATTATTGTGTACCTGTCTAGTGTCATGTAAATATTAAATTACAATTACATTAATTATTGTATGCTAAAGTAAATCTGATGGTAATAAAAAATATTATCTATTATATATTTGATTTTATTTTATTAATTGGAAATACCTTTTATTACTTCGCATGCTCTTCCCTTGGGCGGCGCAAGCAGATTCAACGGCAGCCTACCAATTTGATAAACCTGAACCTTTTCTATATGCCATGCCATTGGAGTTCTGTTCCTTTTTAGTCTACTGAGTGGTGCAGAAATACCAGAAACAGCATGGTACCAGCGTGCAATAATAAATGAGAGATAGCCTACATTGCTTGCAATCTTTCATCTGTGAATCAGCTGGGGTTGCGGCCTTGCGGGGAAGTGCAGTCAGGTACCGAGGCCTCAATCTGGAGCAGGAGAAGGCACTCCCCTACATCTGTTCCTTACCCTGTAATTTTTAGTTAAGAGTCTGTCATTCGGTGGCATTTCTCGTCATACCCTCGGCGAGAAACGTTATTTGATGGATTTCCCTCCTCAACAAAAGGCCTGAAAGGAATGAGGGATGAGAACTCCCCTGTATGCCAATAATAATATCTCCAAATCCCTTGCTTTCCATCAGGCGACTCGTCAACTTGTTCGCCGACTTATGCCATACAAATTATATGAATAAACTAGTATTAATAATATGGTAGGTATGTGTTCTATATATTTGTATAATTTAGGTACTTATGTTAACTAAGTAGGTAGTTACTTATTCACTTTCTTTGACCACCTGGCTAAAGGTTATCAGTTAAACTATAACAATGTTATCATTTATAGACAACGATGTAAATAAAACTCAGCCACAGACTATACGCAGTCTTTGCGCTACTTTTGAACGTGTTAGTACTTATAGGAATGGTTAGATGGCGTGACCTGTACCTATTTGAAGATTGCTAAGTGATTTGGTTGTTACATGGCCACTAGTGTGACTGTTGAACTTGTGGTGTGGATTCGATTGCCATGGGTGGATTTCTTCCCACAACAAATGAACTAATCTTATTTAGTAAGTTTTTTTTCAGCCGTGAAAAAATATAGGAACATATTTTATTTTTATTCGATATTCATTATAAGTAGGTAGGTACTGTATTCGTTTTAGCTATCTGCGATTATCTACACCACATTTGCTACTTTTAAGTAATTATGTTCGGTGATTTCTCAGCAGCTAAGCGTCCCTCCTCCTGTTTTGTCTAGCCAGCTAGTTTTGGTGGTGCGGTGGTAATGTAGCTTTTTTTTCTATATTCAATAGAAATTTATTAAATCTCGTCCCTTACCGAGAGGGAGAGAGTTCACTGATACTTGGAAATACCAGAGCAAGTCACACGGAAGAATTAAATCTACTGTTCTTTGGTCTAAGGTAAATCATTATCGTTTGGCGTTCCGTTGTCTGTGCTTACCCCAAATTTGAAGTGTGGGAGAGCCATGCTTCGGCTCGACAGGAATGATACCCGGCCTCACAGAAAACCGGCGTGAGACAACCAAAGTGTTGTGTTTTGCAGTGCGAGTGAGGTTACCGGAGGCCCATTCCTTCCCCTCCCCCAATCCCTAAATCTCCAATTCCCCAAAAGGTCGGTAACGCACTAGTAACTCGTCTGTTGCCATGTCCATGCCCACGGGGCGGCGCTGATTGCTTACCATCTGGTAATCCGGGCTTCGCATGGGTGCAATGCTGTCTCGAACACCGCTGTTTTGTGGCAAGCCTATGTGTGTACCTACCTAAAGGCTTCACTTCGGAGAGCGTAGCGTAACAGCTTAACCATCATTCGTTTTTTTTCTTCCAGTAAAAAGCGCGATTTTCCTCCAGTCAAGCGCGGATCCAGACTTCAAAAAAAGCTGTGGTCACAGCTACTAGAAAATCGGCTAAGTACGAGTCGGAGCAAAGACATGCTCATTAGGTAACAATCATGCAAATCGTTTATGAACTTATGAATTAATTATTTCCTTTTTTCTGAGCATCAGGACTTTGGCATTAGGAAGAAGTCGGACACGATTTCTTCTAATTTCTAATAGTCAGTTTCGATCCAAACCTATTTCAATCACAAGTGTATTAAGGTTGCGGGCATGCCCAGCGTGCCCACAACGGTGGATCCGCCCTTGCCTCCAGTAGGTACCTACTTTCAAATCATAATATTAGAAAAATTGCGACACTGTCTAACTACAGCCCAAACGCTCTAGCTAAGCTAGCGTTAGTTACCTATATATATTAAATAATTTATTCCATTCCGAAATATCTGGAACTAGTCAAACTACTTAACATGTCTCTGTACATACTTAGATATTTAAAATTAATCAGCACATTATAAAGTACCTACTACCTACTAATGTAATTCCACAGAGTAAATAATTGATGTAGTGTGACGTCACCTGTCACAAGATGTCACCAATAAATTGCGCGCGAGTGATTGATGAACTTCCCATAAACACGAATACTGCTTGTACGTCTAAATGTTGAACAATAAGATAATCTAAAGCTAATAAAATTTAAGGGGATGTCTTATTTATTTAAGGGAAGGGTAATAATAATTTTATGGCATGTGTTAATATTTTTCTTCGTCTCAGTAACCCTAAAGCGTCAAGGGCGACATCTGCGTCGAAAGTACTCGGTTTAGATCAATATGTTATTGGCTTGTGAACTGCTCCTTACCCTGCGCAAAAGCTTCTTCCTGGCCATGTTCTTGTCTTAGTAGCCTTAAAGTCCTGAAAAGGGATCTTCACGTAACTTATTTCAAATACATGACAATCAGGCATCAATATTATCAGCACCATACGTTTCCTCTACTACTGGACTTCTCTTTCCAATAGGACATGATTGTGTTAGATCCGTCACATTTGGCGGAAAACATAGCTATAGCCCATTCCGTTACTTCGATGCAGAATTTAAAAAGGTGGGTCGACGAAGTTTCCTTCAGTGAGAAATATTACATAAGGGTTCTTAGTTTCGAATTAAGTACTACATCCAATTGTCGTTATTGATATACGAAAATTCTCAATTTTTAATTTGCTACATAGGACCCTACGTATGGCTATAGGTTTACCCCTCAGTACAAGGGACACGCGCGTGCCTCAAAGAGCAATCAGACCACCACTGATGTCCAGCCATGGTTGCGGGAAGATGCGCAATGATGTACCGCGGCAGCAGCAAGAGAAGGAACGGGGTGGTCTTTAGTCAGTAAGAATCAGACACTCCTTTTCGTTCCAACTAGTCATTTAAATTCCCCCGCAAAAAAAAGCATACAGTGGGTATGACAGTAACCAGTGACCAGCTTTAATTTATATCTGAAGAGGAAGTGTCGGAGAGCCATGCTTATGGTGATACCACCTCACAAAAAACCGGCGTGAAACAACTACAGTTGCTTTTCGCCGTGTGAGTGAGGTTATACCAGAGTTCCAATTCTTCCCCTACCCCAATCCCTAATCCCCAAAAAGGTCGGCAATTCACTCGTTACTCCTTTGTTGGGGGTGTCAATG